GAAAGAGCATTCCAACCAAAAAGTTAGAGGTCCAGTTGGAACAACCAGCCACTGCCACTGCAGCGGGGCGGGGCCCCTGGCTGAAGAGTTCGGCCACAATAAACCAGGGAATGGGGCCTGGTCCAATTTCAAAGAAGGCCACAAAGACCAAGATAGCCAGAATACACACGAACTTCATCCAGTCGTAGTCATCCTGCAAGAGAAACGCCGAGAGTTAATATCACGCGCAGGTGACCGAGGCTCCCGCTTCCCAGAAATCAAGTCTAACTGAATGACACGCTCCTTCTGTCCGGTGACTGACCAGACAGTTACTGGCTCGGCGTCAAAAGCCTCGGGCTTTGGATCCAAGTGATGTGATTTCACAGGACATTGTGTACTGAGCCATTTCCCCTTCTATAGAATGATAGTACCTCAAGGTTATCTATGTATTTTACAAGCTTAAGTGTTATGGAGATATAAGGATTGTAACCATTTGCATATCTGCGATGAGATGTTTTCTTTTGTTTCCTTTTTATTTATTTATTTAATTCCATTTGTTATAATTTTTTTTTTTTGATCAGAGAGAGACAGAGAAAGGGAAAGTGAGAAAACAAGTCACCAGGTCTGGGACTCGAACTGTAGTCAGCCATGTGGGAGTCCAGTGCTCTTAACCACCACGTCACCTTCCAGTCCCTGAATGTTTTTCTTAAAACTGGGCATCTTGGGCCGGCAGGTGGTGTGGTGGTTAAGGTCGACTGCGGTTCAGGTCCTGGACCTGGTGAGTTGCTTTCTCACTTTTCCTCTCTCTCTCTCTCTCCCCCACTTCTCTGGTCAAATTAAAATAAATTTTAAAAATTAAATAATTCTTTAACAAACAAAAGAAAAAACTGGGCACTTGCTTTTCTCAAATTTGACTTAACCAATGATCTTTAACTTCAGAACCCGCTCCTTGTCAGAGAATCAACTGTCACCTCTTTTCCAGTCTCCTTCCTTCCCTCTTTATCCAAAGAGCACTCACCTTTAACAACAAAGACATCGTCATGAGGACAGAACAAAAAGCCATCCCTCCAAGGCCAATCAGGTGTAGAGTCCTTCTTCCCGCCCTTTCCACCAGGAACACCTGAAGAAAAGTAACAGAACATGACACTTCTGTTTGGCCTTCATGAAAACACTGTCTGAGATCCCTGACTCCTGCCTTACCCATGGCGGGTACTTGTAATAGCCACGCCTCTCTTTCAGCTCCATCCTATAGAATTCCTTCTCTCTCCCTTCTCCCCTCCGGCCTATCTTCGCTTGAAGAACGAGACTCCTTATACTCATCACTGAGTGCCAGCTCCTTTTCCCAAAGAGGAATTAAGATTTATTCCTTAAAGGTTATCTAAGTGATAGCTGGGGGTGAGTGGGGAGGGGGGGCAGGCGTCGAAGGACAGGCAATTCATCTTTGAGCATCGTTAGCAAGAACTCCTCTTTCGTTCCCCTAGAATGACTTACAGAAACTACAGTGAAGATGGTGTTGACCACACCCGCACCAATGGTAGCGTAGATTGGTTCTTCGACACCTGCATCACTGAAGATCCCTGTTGAGTAGTAGAACACCTAGTAGGAAAGAAAAGATACAATTTTGATAGTTGTACCAGTTAAATAGAATCCTCAGAAAGAAAACTCCAAAGTTCTGGGAGGAAAGGAGTCCTTCTCAGGGTCTTTGTCCAATCACAATGTCCTTTCTGCAAATGAACTGTCTTCTATTCTTATCTCCAGCCTTGCCTTAATTAACTGAAGCTATTCATTTCCATTTTTCCCTCTAACTATACTCTTCCTCCTATTTTATTAATTCATATAAAAGTGCTAAGTGCTTTTTCTTTTTTGAAAAAAAAAATTTAATTCCGGATACAGGACTCCACAGGACTCCCACATGGCTGACCATGGTTCAAATCTCGGATCTGGTGACTTTCTCATTTCCTTCCTCTCTTATTCTGCCCCTCTCTAGACAAATTAATAATAAATAAATGAAGTTAGTTAAATAAAATAGTTCTTAAAAATACCGATTCAATTTCACTTACTATCATTTTTTAAAAATTTGCTATGGGGCACAGGCACTCACGAGAGAGAGAGAGAGAGAGAGAAAGAGAGAGAGAGAGAGAGAGAGAGAGAGAGAGAAACAGAGGGAAGGAAGGAAAGTGAAAAAGCAAACCACCAGGTCTGGGACTTGAAACGTGGTCAGTCATGTGTAGGTCCAGCACCTTAACCACCATGCCACCTACCCACCCCTACTGGCCCGTAAGTGCTTTTTCTTTTCTTTCCTTTCCTTTTTTTTTTTAAAGAGAGATTTTTCATATGGGGGCACTTGCTTACTGGCAAGACAGAGTGATAGAGAGACAGAAAGAGATAAATCAACCCCCCAGGGGAGGTGGCCATGCCGCAATCCCTTCTTATCCATTTTCCTCTTGGGATTTTGGGCACGCGCACATACACACACATGCCCAGCATGACTTTTAAGCCATCAGGTCTGGGACTTGAACCGTGCCTGACTACGTGGGAATCCAGCGATGTAACCATCATGCCATCTGCTGGTCCCCCTACGTACTTTTTCAAAGAACTCTTCTCCAAACCCTCAAAACGTAGTTAGGCACATTGATATCCCAATTCAGTAGTGAAGAAACTGAATCATTTTAGCTTACTCATTTAATAAAAAACAGCATTTGGGGGACTGGATGGCGGTGCAGTGGTAAAATGCAATGTTTGCAAGGCTGACCTGTATGCAAAGAACTCTCTGAGTATGTTAGGCACACGTGTGCCATCAGCTGGGGCAGCGTCAAAACCCCGGTGGGATGCTGTGTCTCTTTCCTATGGTAGAAATAAATAAACTTAAAAGGGGGGGGGGAGCCGCAAATGGCTTTGCAGTTGCATCGCTGGACTCCCACATGGCCGATGGCAGTTGGAGTCCTGAACCTGGTCACTTGAAACTCACGCCAGAGGCATGTGTGTGTGTGCCCAAGATCCTGGGAGGAAGGTGGAAGAGAAGGGATTGCAGCGCGGCCATCCCTCTTAGGGAGTGATTTTTCACTTTCCCTGTCACTGTCTCTGTCTTTCTCTATGGTGAGTTCAATTGGTTAAGGCGAAAATCTCTACAAAAAAAAGGGGTGGGGCCAGCAGGTGGCATCAAAGTTAAGGGACTGGACTCCACATGGTTGACCAGTTCGAGTCCTGGACCTGGTGGCCTGGAAACTATGCTGGGAATGTGTGTGTGCACGCCCCACATCCCAGGAGGGAAATGGAGAAGGGATTGTGGCGTGTCTATCCCCCAGGAGTGATTTCTCATTCTCTCTGTCTCTGACAAGCACACATGTCCTATAGCAAAAACCTAAAAAAAAAAAAAAGGGCAGAGCTTGGGCTGGGCTTCCTGCCTTAGGCCCTTCTCAGGTGTTTTAGAAAAATACTACCAGCTACTACTTTTATTTAATATGTACTATTAAATATACTTAAGTACGCTACTTTTATTATTTTCTTAAAAACATTATTTACTGGAGCTAAGCAAATGGCATGGTGGTTAAGGTGCTGGGCTTTCACATGGTCAACCACAGTTTACATCCTGGACTCGGTGGCTTGAAACTCAGCGTGTGCCCAAAATCCCAAGAGGAGAATGGAAGAGAGGGGACTACGGTGTGACCATTCCCACTGGGGGGTAATTTCTCACTTGCTATGTGTTTCTCCAGAGAGCGTACAGCAAAAATCTGCTTTTAAAAAGATTATTTATTATAATAATTATCATTTTAAAGTTTGCTATAGGGCACATGCACTCACCAGAAAGAGAAACAGAGAGATTGCAAATGAGAAATCAAGCCAGGTCCAGGACTCAAACTGTGGTCAGCCATGTGGGAACCCGGCACCCTAACTACCACACCATCTGCTGGCCTGGACTATTTGTTTGTTTGTTTATTTATTTATAAGTTTTTGCCTTAGGGTACACGCACTCACTGAAGAGACAGATACAGAAAGAGGGAAAGTGAGCAATTAGGATCCCCAGGGGAGATGGCCATGCCACTATCTCTTCACCTCCATTCTTCTTTTCTTTTGGAGAGGTTTTTGCTATAGGGCGCATGCACTCCGCCAGACAGACAGAGACAGACAGAGAGACAGAAAGCGAGAAATCACCCCCCAGGGGGATGGCCACGCCGCAATCCCTTCTCCTCCCTTCTCTTCTCGGGATCTTGGGCATGCACGCACATGCACCCGGTGTGATTTTTAAGCCCCCAGGTCTGGGACTCGAACTGTAGTCTACTACATGGGAGCCCAGCAACATAGCCATTACGCTAACTGCTGGTCTCTTCTTCTCCATTCTTTTTTTTTTTTGGGGGGGGGGGAGGTTTTTGCCATAGGGCACGTGCGCTCGCCAGACAGACAGAGACAGACAGAGAGACAGAAAGCGAGAAATCACCCCCCAGGGGGATGGCCACGCCGCAATCCCTTCTCCTCCCTTCTCTTCTCGGGATCTTGGGCATGCACGCACATGCACCCGGTGTGAGTTTTAAGCCACCAGGTCTGGGACTCGAACTGTAGTCTACTACATGGGAGTCCAGCAACATAGCCATTACACTAACTGCTGGTCCCCTTCTTCTCCATTCTTACCCTGGGATCTTGGGGATGCATGCACACATGCCTGGAGTGAATTTCAAGCCACCAGGTCTGGCACTTGACCCACTGTCGGCCATGTGGCAGTCCAGAGAGAAAATCCACTATGCCATCAGCTGGCCCCCATGTTACCATTTCAAATGAGGAAACTTGAGACTGGGATCCATCAGAATCACCCAGAAGGCTTTTCAGGCCCTCTTCCTTTCCAGGTTGTGATAAAACAGCCTCTCACCTCTCACTGACGTACTTCCACTTCAAAGGTGTGCTGGCAGGAGGGAAGGCTACCTTACTCTGAGGATCAGGTGTGTCTCCTTAAAAGCTTTGTTCAAAATGATTTCATTCCATTGATCAAAGACTGATGAAAACTACAGGGCATGAGTTACTGTTTAAAGAGGTGCTTTCCTTGGCAGCAGGCGGTGTGGTGGTTAAGGGTGCTGGACACATGGCCGACTGGGGTTTGAGTCCTGGACCTGGAAGCATACTTTCTTGCTTTCCCCCTCTCTCTCACTCTGTCCCTCTTTGGTCAAAATTAAATAAATAAATAAACAAAAGAAATAAAGTTCAATAAAATAATACAAAAAAAAAGTATGGGACCAGCAGGCATAATGGCTATGTCGCTCGGGACTCCCATGTAGTCAACCACAATTTGAGTCCTGGGCCCGGTGGCTTAAACTCACGCTGGGCACGTGTGCATGCGTGTCCAAGATCGTGAGAGGAGAATGGAGGAGGAGAAGGGATTGTAGCATGGCCATTCCCCTTGGGGGGTGATTTCTCGCTTTCTGTCTCTCTGTCTCTGTCTCTCTTTCTGGCGAGCGCATGTGCCCTATAGCAAAAACCTCTCAAAAAAAAAGTGTATCCTTACATAAATAAAGAGGTGCTCTTCACAGCCAAATATTTTATCTGCAAATGGGACACAGTATACTAGATCCTCTCTTCCTATAATCTACTGATACTGTTTTTTTAGTTTCTCTGTAGGGTACATGCTCGCCAGGTACACACACACACACACACACACACACACACACACACACACACACAGAAAGGGAGAGTGAGAAATCACGTTCTAGGGCAGATGGCCACACCTTCTCCTCTGTTCTCTTGGGACTTCTGGGCACACACGTGTACATGCCTGGTGTGTTTTCTCAAGCCGCCAGGCCCAGGACTTGACCTGCTCAGTCAGCCATGCGGGACTCAGCCGCCTTAATCCCTATGCCACCTGCCGGCCCACCTACAACTACTTTTAAAAGCAAGATCCTGTTCTACAGAACACAAGGGCTACCTGCCAAATGCCAGCTTCCATTTTGGCAGTCACTGTTTTCTTCCGAAAGTTTTTTCCCCGTAAGAATGAGAGGTACAGAGACAGAGAAAGCGCGAAGCACGCTCAGTCAGGTTTCACACTGCGGCCGCCTCGCCCCCGCCAGCCTCCTCAGCCATCGAGGACAGTGGTGCGTGCCCACCAGGGGTCACCTGGAGAACCGACCCCACGTGTCCCTTCCACATGGGTGCAGATTGCCACCAAGTCAGTCCCCACCATGTTAAACTATCATACCATTCTAGATGCAAAGCACACTCTTCCCCTCCCTCCCTCCCGCTCCCAAGCACGGGCACCTGTCCTCTGGCAGAATTAGAAAACTAAAAATTAAAAAGGAAACAGACTTGTAAGGCCGGTTTACTTTGCAGTTGCCAGTGGGCCCCCCAGATTTTTTTAAACGATTTCGAAGCTATTCCCCAGGGTCTTGTGCAGATTTTAGACCACAAAGTCTTACTGAAAAAGCTGAGGTATATAAATTCGAGAATCTACTTACACTGTGTGGCCCATGTTACCACTGACGCCATATAAGATAGATTGGAGTTAAAGGAAGATTGGACATGGTACACGATGCCTGGTTGGGGGCCAGCAGGTGGTACAGCGGTTAAGGTGCGGGATCCCACCCTGCCAGCTCTGTGGCTTTAGTCCTGGTCCCGGGCTTGAGAAACATGCTGGGCACGTGTGTCCGTGTGTGCCCCAAATCCTGGGAGGAGCGTGAAAGAGAAGGGACGGTGTGGCCATCCTCCCTGGGGGCTGATTTCTCACTCTCTCTCTGTTTCTCTTTGGAGGGCACAAGTGCAAACATTAAAAAAAAGTTCAAATAAAGGGTTAATGGGGCCAGGGTGCTGGTACAGTGCACAGTGGTAAAGCAACCGGCCCGGTATGGGAAAGGTCCTGGGTTCCCATCAGAGGACTTCCTTGAGCACATGTGTGTGTGCCTCTGTCCATGACCCAGGCTGCCTAAAACTGTGATGGATCATGGAGTGAAGACTCTCCTGGGGATGTCTGCTTATCTCTCTCTCATGAAAGAAGCAGATGGGGGTCTGGCAGGTGGCGTGGTGGTTAAGGGCATTGGACTCCCACATGGCTGACTGCAGTTCAAGACCCGGACCACCAGGTGACTTGCTTTCTCACTCTCTCTCTCTCTCTGTCTGTCTCTTTCTGGTCAAATTAAGAAATAAATAAAGTTAATTAAAAAAATTCTTTAAAAAAGAGATATAGAGGGACCAGCAGTTAGCGTAATGGCTATGTCACTGGACTCCCATGTAGTCAACCGCGGTTAGAGTCCTGGACCCGGTGGCTTAAACTCACGCCGGGCGTGTGTGCGTGACCAAGATCCTGAGAGGAGAATGGAGGAGAAGGGACTGTGGCGTGGCCATCCCCCTTGGGGTGTGATTTCTTGCTTTCTATCTCTCTCTGTCTTTCTGGTGAGTGCACATGCCACATAGCAAAAACTTCTCAAAAAAAAAAAAAAAGAGATAGAGATAAAACAAGTAAATGGATAAATAGACTTCATTAAAAAAAGGATTAATAAAAATTAGATAAGTTTGTGATGCTTATAGGAGGAATAAAGTCTGGAAGAGGACAGACATTAAGTATAAGTTCCAAGACAGAGAGTGCCTTAAATTTTTCACTTTATCTATTTTCTCATTTTTCTACAAGTAAAGTATACACCATAGATAAAACTTAAAAAACTGAAAACCAAAGCAAATGAAACCTGGACAACGGCCACGGTGCGGCCGGCATCCCGAGGTCTCCGGACCCTCTACCGTAAGCAGCAGGTGAAGTCACTCCCCTTTGGTCAGGTGTTAGGACAGCTCGGCCCTGGCGCAGATACTCACGGCGTTGATCCCAGAGAACTGCTGAGAGAGCTGGAGGACGATGGAGATGAGGAGGGGCTGCTGGTAGTTGGGCGCTCTGAAGAGCTCCAGTATGGTGACTGGCTTTTCCTGGGACATCCTCGCACTCTCCTCTTTCATCTCCAGGATATCCTGAGTCACATCCAGGGTGCCCCACAACTGCTGAAGGGCTGGGGAGGACGACAAAGCGGAAAGGTCTGATACTGTGCTGTCCCAAATTGGCTCTTCCTCTAAGACGGCTGGGAGGAGCCCACGTGAGGTGAGGTGACCGGTGAGCACCGTCTCAACCTGCCTTCTCACCTCATTCTAGGGTTGACAGTTTGCCTCGAGAGAGAGTCTCAGGCCAGCCAGTGGCAGAGCAGTGACGCAGTGCTCTGTGCTGCTCGACCCACATGGGAAGGTGCCGAGTTTGTCCCGCACGCACATCCATGACCCAGGCTGGCTGAGGTGTGGGGTAGATCATGACACAGAGACCCTGTGGGGTACCTGTCTCTCTCTCTTTTATGAAGACATAAACAAACTTAAAAAAAAAAAATAGTGTCAGGGCCAGCAGATGGTGTAGTGGTTACGTCGCTGGACTCCCAGGTGGCCAACTGCGGTTCGAATCCTGGATCTCAAGATCACACTGGGCGTGTGTGAGCGCATGCCCATGATTCCAGGAGGAGAATGGAGAAGGATTGCAGCGTGGTCATCCCTCATGGGCTGATTTCCCACTTCCCTCTCACTTTCTCTGTCTGTCTCTGGTGAGCACACACACCCTATGGCAAAAACCTCTTAAAAAATTAAAAATTTAAGTGTCAGAGCCAGCAGGTGGCCTGGTGATTAAGGTGCTGGACTCCAACATGGTCAACTGCAGTTTGAGTCCCTGACCTGGAAGCTTGCTTTCCCACTCTCCCCTCTTTATGGTCAAGTTGAATAATAATAATAAATGAATTCTCCCCTCTTTATGGTCAAGTTGAATAATAATAATAAATAAAATTCAATAAATAATTCTTAAAATAAATGAGGTCAGCAGGTGGCGTAGTGGTTAAAGGCGTTGGACTCTTATGGCTGACCACAGTTCAAATCCTGGACCTGGCAACTTGCTTTCTCACTTTCTCTCTCTGCCTCACTTTGATCAAATTAAAAATAATAATGATAAATAAAGGAAATAATTCTAAAAAAAAAAAAAACCCCGCAAATAAATGGTTACATCACTGGACTCCCATGTAGTCAACCATAGTTTGAGTCTGGCCTCAGCAGCTCAAAACTTGTGCCAGACGCATGTGTGTGCATGTTCAAGATCCCAAGAGAATGGAGGAGAAGAGACTGCGGCATGGCCATCCTCCCTGGGAGTGATTTCTCACTTTCTCTCTGGAGAGAGTACCCGCACTATAGCAAAGTTTCTCAAAAAAGAAAAAAAAGTGTCAGATCTCACTTATGCTTTTTTGTTTGTTTTTTTAAGAGAGATCTTTCCTATAGGGCGTGTGCACTCCCCAGAGCAATATAGATAGAAAGTAAGAAATCACCCCCAGGGGGATGGCCACGCTGCAATCGCTTCTCCTCCATTCTCCTCATGGAACCTTCGGCACGTGCACACACGCTCAGTGTTGAGTTTTAAGTCACTGGTCCAGGACTTGAACTGTGGTCAGGTCGACTACGTGGGAGTCTAGTAACATAATCATTATTCCATCTGCTGGTCCCTGTTTTTTCTTTTAAGAGCTATTTTTGCTATAGGGTGTGTGTGCTTACTGGCGAGACAGAGACAAAAAAATGAGACATCGCCCTGGAGGGGAATGGCCACGCCAGCATCCCTTCTCTTCCATTCTTCTGTCCGGTTTTTGGGTACGCATGCACATGTGCGTGGCCATTGTGAGTTTCAAGCTGCCAGGTCCCAGATTCGAGCTGCAGTCAACCCCGCGGGAGTCCAATGCCTTAACCACTATGCTACCTGCTGGCCCCTGATACTGTCTTTTTTAAAAAAAGAACACTCAGAGAATTCGAGTTCTGAGGGGCAGGGAAAGGGGATGACAAAAAGTTAATTCATTAATCTTATCCTTAAACAAACTGCAAGCATGTAATTTGTACAGTGGGGTGGGAAGGGTACTCACTCTTCTTAGCATTCTCCTCTTCCTTTCTGTTAATGAGCAAGAACCTAGGACTTTCAGGGCAAAATGGAAGGGCTATGCTTTGCAGAATAGCTGGAATGATAGTAAAGCCCAACAGCAAGGGCCACAGATCGTCAGACCCCAAGATGAATTCCAGACCAAAGATCTAGAAAAGCAAAGACAATGCTATCAATCTCAGACGCCATAGGCCACAAAATCATTAAAGAAAAAAAAGTTCAGAAACCCGCTCACTCTTTTCTTACTACAGGCAAAGATAAACACAGCTTGCTTCTTTCCTTTCTCTCTACCCCTTTTTGCTTCTTTAGTTACTGCCTGTGAGCTGCAGTAAAAACAAGATCTGGGACTTTCACATGCGTAAAACCGAGCACGTGCCAGCCATTCTTCTGAGAGCGTGACCTAGCTTAGCTCACGTACTGAACCACGAAACTTTCCCCCGAGGCCGCAGCATACCTGGGCCACTAGGATCCCGATGACGATGCCCAGCTGATTGAGGGTGCCGAAGGCGCCCCGCAGGGCGGTAGGAGATATCTCTCCGATGTACATGGGCACGAAACCTGTGCAGAGCCCACAGAACAGGCCGATGACCAAGCGGCCCAGGATCAGCATTTCCACCGACTCAGCTATTTTACAGAACCCCATAAGGCAGCCACCAGCGATGGCCAGCAGGTTGACGATCAGCATGGAATTGCGTCTGCAAGGTTAAGCAGAGACGGACTGGGGTTAACAAAGGGAGACTCCGAAACCCTCCTTCTCGACATGACCCTGCTCTTTTCCAGGCTATCTTCTCTTCCTTTGATATCACTTTTCTTCTCACTTTTTTTTTTTTTTGGAGATGTTTTTGCTATAGGGCGCGCGTGCTCGCCAGACAGAGAGACATAGAGAGAGAAAGCGAGAAACCACCCCCCAGGGGGGATGGCCACGCCGCAATCCCTTCTCCTCCATTCTCCTCTCGGGATCTTGGGCACGCACGCACACGCGCCCGACGTGAGTTTTAAGCCACTGGGTCTGGGACGTGAACCGCGGTCGACTACGTGGGAGTCCAGCGACATAGCCATTATGCTAACTGCTGGTCCCTCTGCTCGCTTCCTATTATCAGAACTTTTCTAGTTGGAATAACCAGGACCAATGGTAATTATAGCTCTTTATGCACAAAACTTGCTCAGAGAACTTCTGTACGTCCCAGCTGTTGCTTAGGAGGAGTCCGACAAGCACGTCAGGCCATTGGGGCCATTCCTAAGGTGATCCTCAAACTAGCAACATCAGCTAGAAATGTGTTAGGAATTTAAATTTTCCCCTCCTTCCCGGGTTCACTTAATCAGAGGGTCTTACTCTGAAGGTAGGAAGCAACAAGTTGTTCTAAAAAGTCCTTGAGGTGGGGCTAGCAGGTGGTTCAGTGGTTAAGGCACTGAATTCCCAACACAGAGACTGTGGTTTGAGTTCTAGACGTGGCAGTTCACACTGTGTGCATTTCTGTGTGTGCCTGCTCAAAATCCCACGAGAATAGAGAAGGGATTGCAGCATAGTATAGTCACGCCCCGCCAGGGGGTGATTCCTCACTTTCTCTGTATCTGCAGTGAGAGCATGTGGCCTATAGCAAAATAAATAAATAAATCAAAAGCCCTTGAGGTGATCTGATCCAAGCTAACGTTTGAGAATCACCATCATAAAACAACTGATATAGCTGGTGTATGAACAGTCAGGAGGCACTTTATGACCAATACTGATCTTTCTGTGCTTTTTGCTATTTTTCATACAATGTAACTGGCTTAGCTATCACTAATTGTAATGGCCACTTTTTTTAAGAGAGATTATTTTGCAATAGGGTGTGTGCACTCAGCAGAGACAGAGACGCAGAAAGTGAGAAATCACCCCCCAGGGATGATGGCCATGCCACAATCCCTTCTCCTCCATTCTCCTCTTGGGATCTTGGGCATGCCTGTACACATGCCCAGTATGAGTTTTAAGCCACTAGGTCTGGGATTCGAACCACAGTTGGTCACATGGGAGTCTAGTGACCTAACCATTACGCTAGCTGCTGGTCCCAGATGACAGATTATTTTACACAAAAGTTTCTTTGCTTAATTGTTGGAGGGTGTGTGTGAGAAAGAAGGGAGAAGGGGGGAACCCCTCAATAGGGTGTGGTCACATCAACATCCTTTTTCCTCCATCTCTCCATCCTTTCGAGATTTGGGACATACACAAACATGCACCAAGCATGTTTTCCAAGCCACCATGGTCAGGATTTGAACCTCAGTCATCCATCTGGCATCTGGCTCCTGATACACAGGAACTGACCTCTGCAAAATGGGTCAGCCTGCAGACAAAAGTTTTTCTACCTCATAGAAAATTATATACAAGGGGGTCGGCAGGTGGCATAGTGGTTAAGGTACTAGACTCCTACACAGTCGACCGTGGGTCAAGTCCTGGACCTGGTGGTTTGCTTTCTCTCTTTCCTTCTCTTTCTCTCACTCTGTCCCTCTCTCATTCAAATTAAGATAAATAAATTAAATTAAATAATTCTTAAAAAAAAAAAA